CTCAAAAAACTTTTCCAGAAGCTCCCACATCAGAAGTCACCTATCTGCTGCCATTACTCAGCCAGGAACAGAAAGACAGACTTGGTGGGGATTTCTCTGATGTGACAAAGTCTATAGACACTCTGAGGTGGTCTCCCTGTCTTGTCATTGTGAAATTCACAGCAAATATTTCCACAAAGGATATCTTCTCTCATAGTAATGGCTGCTACTCTATTTTCTTGGGTTCACAGCTAAAGTTGATACCCCAAAGAAGTACGAACCACCCCAAAGATGCTTAGAAGTGGCACCGACCAACGCATCAAAGATGACTATAGACCCGGTGTACGAAGTATATCACTGACAGGCCACGGGACCTGGACAAGAGCAGTGGGCTGGGAGGGTCTTCCGGGTGGCAGAGTTTCTGGTTCTCAGTCCAACACATCTGCCCCACACCAAAATATAAAGGCTTTTTTTGGGTCCATTCAAGTTTCTTGAGATTTCTTGAGTCCTATGACCCAAGTTCCCTTTCTAGTCCCTCTGCTCCACAGACACAAGGCCCCTGTCACACCCCAGTTCCCTGAAATCCTCGGCCAACAACAGGTGGGGGATAGCCTTGCTTCTTGGCAACCACAGGCCTAGAGCAACTATAGTTCCCTTTGAAAATGAATACATCAACATTCTCCTTTATAAGTTGGTATCACTATGTTTGATCACCATGACTCAGTATTCTAGTGAGTACTGGTAAGTCCCCGAAGACACAGCCACACTGTGAGGTCTATCCTGAAAAACCAGCCAGACAGCCTCACAATTGCAGGAGGAATCCAGGGAATTGGAGACAATGTTCTAAGCAAATCAAGAGGAGAAGTTCCAGCCATTAAGTGCATAACATAGAAACTAAAGTAGACCCATAGTGGGAATATTCCTTTCAGTACCAAACTTCTTTCCCAGCTCCTATTTTAGAGGCTGATCATGATTCTTGTTACCTCTCTTGGTGCCTCTGGGGCCTTAGTCTGGAGGAGTGAAATGTGTGGCCTCAGGTACAATGGCAAACAGCCTTTTGACGGAAGATCTGAGAGTTCATCTCAACTTCCATCATGTAAGCAACTGCTTACTCTACCTAAAGTAAACTATACTCCTGCATGTCTCAAAAAAGAAGATATAAACATATATTCATCATCCAAAAAGAAGGCATTTTAAGTTAAGATTTCTTTCTCAGCAGAGAACAAAAGAGATAATGAAGCAGCTTTTTCATTTGAATGTAAGGGCTCTTTCACTTGACTAGTAAGCTAGCACTTTGAGGCATTTTATTAGGTGTCCCAAGGAAACACGTATGTTATGGACTGAGTTGTGTCCCTCCACAATTCGCATGTTGGGGCCCTAAAGCCCACTGTGATGGTGTTTGGAGGTATGGTTTTTGCAAAGTACTTAGGTAATAAGGTTTTGAGGGTGGGGGTCCCCATGATGGGAGTACAGTCCTTTTGCGAAGGAAAGAGATCAGAGTTCTCTCTCTCTGCTCCATGTGAGGACACAATGAGAAGGTGGCCACCTGCAAGTCTATAAGAGAATCCTCACCAGGATCATACTAATCTTAGACTTCCCTGCGTGTGAGAAATAAATTTCTATTTTTGGCCACCCCGTCTACAGTATTTTCTTATGGCAGCCTGAATTGACTAATGCAATACATATTTTTTAAATAAAATTTTAAAAAATGGTTTATTCACATTCCTTTAACACTTACTCACTGCTAAAACCTCTCACTGTGCTTGCATCAGTTATTCAGTGATGCCATTTGAGTGACCCAGGCTTCACATTGATATTCTTTCTGCCTATAAGAAAACTTGCTTCAGTAATAACCTGTGAAGGTTGCATCATTGAATGGGATGCCAGGGAGCGAGGCAAGAGCTGAGCTGGAGTGTCCACTCTCAGAAGCTGAATCTAAAGCCACTGGATCAACATCAAAGGCTGGAGTTGAGAGTAAGAGCAAGATGGTGCTTGGAGCCTTTCAGTCAGACAAGTCAGATGAGACTTCTGTAGGAAAACAACCCCACGGTCTATCTAGTCTCACATTCCTTTCCTCCAGTAGAAAAAGACCTGACAACATGTCACTGTCTAAACAAATCTGGGGATGGGTGTGTATACACTGCTATAATGACAGGAGCATGAACATTAAACCACAAAATATGCAAATGCATCTTACAGTCCAGTTAGCAGAATATCATAAATCTACAGTGCTACTGATAAAATTAAGCATTACAACATACACCCTAGGGTTAACTCAACAAACACAGAAAGCTCACGTGATCATAAACTTAAACAGTAATTTTTCACTAAAAAAATAGTAATTAAAAACTTTGGCTGACTTGAAACAATATGGCTGATATGTTCTACACAAAACACCCTTCTTCCAAATTGTGAGAATTCCAACTAAAGCTTGTTTGTGGGGATACACAGTAGGGCGCTGCAAGTTACCAAGTGTGTTGTGGCTGAGACTTCCTTAAAAGGACTTGCCTTTTGGGGAGCTGGGGTTCTGCCAGGAGGAGGACCCCTGGCTGCTGGGTGAGGGCTATGCTGCCAATGAGCCAGGGCAGTGGGGCTCCTGGCAGAGCCAGCTGTCCAGGGTCCACTGGGTTTTCAGGGCTCTTCCCTTCTCTTATTCAGTAGCTCATTGGTACCCTGGGGCAGTTGCCCGGGAAACCCAGTGGGGTCCCATTGTTCAATGATGCTGTTCCTGTCTCCTTCCTAGAAATGCTAAATGAATGGTATTTCTAACCATCCCATTCCTGGACTGGAGCTCTTGCACGGAACCATTCTATAAATAGAGAGTGATGAGTTAGGAAATAACCTTAAGAAATAAGAGACAGCTTTTTGCAGCTACATATGATGCGTACCTGAGCAAAATTTCTAGGTGTAACAGTTAAAATATTTCAGCACAGTCGTTTACTTTAACAGAGCTTTAAAAGCATGGACTCAAAACCAAGAGGTATTAGTTCTTTAATGATGGCATTTATGGGCATCGCTAAAGTATGCTGAGAATGTAAACATGTTGAACATTAATTTCTAAATCAGGCATTTACTTGAGGATGAAAAAGCCAGAACAAATTTAGCAACGATAAACATGGAAACTGTCCTTCAGCTAAGCCAGGATGCACTGTCCCTTTGTGTCTTGTGAGAGACTATATAAGCCAAATAATATATTTTACAAGTTGAAGCATTTAATTTTTATTTGTATGCATGAACATTTAACAAGACCTTGAAGAGACCAAGAAACTCTAACAATAGAGAATGATTAATAAGACAGTTTACAGTATGTCGATCCTAACTCCTGAATATGGTATATTTTCCATCATGTAGTCAAAAGGATCAGAGCATATAAACACAAATCAGAAATCCTAAAGTAATGTTCATTTCCAGAAAAACAGGAAAGGGTATAAACAAAATAAACTGCATTGCCAGACGCTCACATACTCCTAACAAAAGTTTACAATTTCCTGCAGAAGAAACATATGGGCTGCTTCAGGATGTGGGTAAGACAAGCATGTTCCTGTGGTAACGATTTCCCAAACAAGAAAAAAATTAAAAAGACAAATCTTTGCTGAACTGCAGGCTACCAGGTCTCCTGATTTATGAGAACAAGAGTAAAGTAAATTGAGCTTGTTTTAGAAATAAGTTAGAAATCAATATTCCATGAATCAGCAAACTCTGTCAAATGCAATGACAATTTACAGTGGAAGGAAATACCTTTACATAGCTTGATATTGTCAAAGCATTTTATTTTGTAGGATTATACTTTAGGCTGATATACTACCTCTAGCATATTCTACAGCCAAACAAAATAAATATGCACACATATCTTGTGAGATTCTTCTCAATCCTTAAATAATAGTTTGACATTAGGTCTTTCAGTAATACAAATATAGAATCATCCAATTAAAATATGGTGTACATTGTTTCTCATAATCTCATTTTCTTTGTCTTTTTTCATAAGTTTATCTTCTTTCAAAATTTACATATCGTGCTATTTTACACTTTGCCCTGCTCGTTTACTTTATTCACCCATCCTTTCATCAACTATTTATTGAGTGTTCACTGAGTATTCAACAAATGGTTGGGTTGAATCTCTTTTTTTCATGTTGCACTGACTGCCCTTCAAGGGCTCATTCACTACTTCTAATAATAAAAAGCTTCATCCTTCCTTCCATTGCTGCTCATCTACCCAGAACATCTATCCAACAGCTACTAATTTCACATTTTCCCTTCTAAAGGTGAGATAAAGCGGCGTGGGGAGAGCAGGGTGGTGAGGAAACTGATAGGTGTTGTTTGCATCCAACACGCAGTGCAATTGTCTAAATGTTCAATGCATATTACCTTAAGTTTCACCACCACAGAATAAAGTAAGTATATCAGTATTGCCAATTCACACACTGGGAAATGGAGTCTCAGCACTTCAGGGACCGGCCACCTGCGGTCTTGTGGCTAGCACCTGGCAGTGCCCGTGAAGGCCCTTGGTCTGTCTAACCCCAAAAGTGTTTCAGCAGCTCATCTAGAAGGACAACTGACACCCAATACATTTTTTAAAAAATCTTTGAATAAAATTGTATTTGAATCTATGTCACTCATAAAGCTCAGAACTTCTCTTTCATTTGCCTCCAAGAACAATATAGTATTTAGATAAATTTTTAAAGAAATATCTTTTAACAAGGGTTTTTGAAGCAAAGGTAGACAGCTCATCAAATACTTATAAATAAAATATTTTTTAAAAATTCTGAATCTATCTGCCTAGACAATGTATTATTTGTTTTTCCAAACACTCTTAATATTAATGGGAGTAACAGATAATAGATTATAAATAGTTAGGCTTTTAAAATTAGTACTATAATACCAATTAAACCAAGGGAAAAGTGCAAACATAAAATGCCCATTTTTATTAACAGGAAGAAAATAAAATAATATCACAAAATAATGTTAAGGAAACACCATTTATTACATTGCGTTCTCCCTAATTATTTCACCTTAGTTTGTACCTTATATTCTTCATAATCATTGTTATCTAGCAAGTCCCTTTTCTCCAGTTCTATAAGTTGCTCTGCAGAGGGCTTAATTAGTACATCCTTAATAGAGGCTTGCTCATAAATGGGCTTCCCATGAAAAAACAGTTCCTTCCAATCATGCATCAATTTATGTGGAATCAGGCTACAGAAAAAAAAAAAAAAGAAGAGGTGAATCAATGGTTAGTCAAATATATGCCTTAAACCTTAGTCTATCATAGTATCCATTCCCAGGGTCTGCTGCTTGAGAACAGGGGTTCCAGCTTGCTATTATATTCTTAATGGCTAATGAAATGTCTGGAATCATGTAGGTTTGAATCAATTAATGTTTCTTAAAGCCACTGATTCTTCAAGCTTTCTAATTGACTGTGAACTAACAGAACAATATATTAAAAAATAATTAGCACTATCACAATACTTTGATTTTGGATTCTCTCCTGTCTTATTAAATGGCTCTGCATCATTAGGAAATCATTTAAATGCTCCAGCAATAGTGTCTTCCTATGCAAAATAAACATGGAATACTTTCCAGGACCCCTTTAAAATACCAGTTGGCTTACATATTTTCATATAATTTGTAACAGAAAAATCTAATGTATGGGTTGTCTTATTGTGTTATTATTACTAATTATAACAACTGATATATTGTCCAAACTCAATCCTGCACTTACTGAATTAATAGCCTATTATCTGAATGTTAACAATTTTGTTAAGGAACAGTCTTATCAAAAACATACCTGTTGCTTTACACACACACACACACACACACACACACACACACACACACAGATAATATCTTGCTTAGTGCAGGGCATAGAGAAACTAAAATGAGTTTTTCTTGACTGTTAGTAATGAAGACTAAGAAAATCTTAACATACGGGGGGAAGTAGATGTACAGTTGTGATACAAATAACTAGTACAATGATTAATAAGTAATATAAGAATAAACAGTTTTGTGTACTCACAACTGTAAACCTACTTTTGCCCACCCTTGTACATGTACAATTATCATATGCAGTTGCAATTAAAAAATACATTTTCCAAGTAAAGCCTCCTTAAAAGTTCTCTGGTATCTATACTTCTGAAATTTTAAAAATTTATTTATTTTTTTAAGTTAAAATAAAATGGTTTTATATAGACAATCTGTTTTCAATTTTCATGAAGCAGGATTTATAGAATAGTAAGAGGCAGTCTATTATATGCCTCTGTGAAATATTACAATAATCAAAGTAACACACGGGAAGTTCTGAACTTACTAATACATTGTGCTGTATAAGTTGGTTTTTAAGTCACTTATTTGACATAAAAATGACAACTATGTATTTCCCTCTTTGCTTTGGCCACCAGAAAACTCAGAAAAATCTGTAGCTCAGTTGCAGCAACTGGCAAATCTATTGCTGCTTGTATAACTGTGCTTCAATTTATCCCTTGCTCTTAACTTTCTACTTTAATTTAGATTTTCCTTTGTTCCTATTTTGGCATATTCTTAATATTTTTTGTTTTGTTGAGTATTTTCTTTTAAATAGCATTAATTATTAGTAAAATAATCTTTAAACAATTTCAGTTTTCTAGAAAGTTCCAAGTATTTTAAATAAGTTATCATAGTTGTCTTGATAAATTACAGAGAATTGAGACACAAAATTTAAATGTAAAAGACATAAATACATGTTAAATAAGGCTAGTCAGTGGGTGAACTAAGTCAGTATCAAGGTACCCACTTCTCAGTCTTCCTTTCATGATACATTCTTGTCTCTTTTAACAATTTATTGCCTCCTTTACAATCTTTTATCTTTCTCATTCTCTGTGATGTCTCTACTGTATTAATTATAAAAGACAGTACTTACTTATTTGTCAACATTCGATAGTCTGCCACTTTCGTGGACAAATCAAGTATCTGATCCAAAATTGCTGCACATATTACATAATGCTTTTGGTAACGAGCTTGAGCTCTTTCCACAACGATCTGCTCATGGATCTCCCTCTCTCTCATGGCTTGTTCTTCAAAGTCAATCTTGGCTTGCTTTGCCAAAGCCTAAGACAACAAAGACACTTTTAAGTCACCATTAACTGTGCAATGATTCAAACAAAAATGATGTCTTTATTTCAATAACCAAAAAATCTCAAAATAGAGTAAAATGTCCTTTCACACCAGGAAAATAAATAAATAAATTATAGAGCGTTTTTTTCCCTTAACACATTAAGCAGTGAGCATGATAGCAAAGAGAATATTGGAAATGTTCCCCTCAAAGCTTATCTTATCATCAAAACATAGTATAGAGAAAAATGGCCTAGCAGGGAAAGTCCAATGTGGATTAATGAGAAATTGAATCGGAAGTGTTTTAAAAGAAGCCCTGATTTCACAGGCTAAATTGAGAGTTGCGGATCAAGAAAAGTAGGCAAGTCGGAGCCAGACCCCAAGCGCATCTGGCCTCTCTGTACCCATCTCACGATCCTTCATCTGATGCACCCTCTCTGCCCGATGTCCTTTCCTGGGACAGTTCTAGAACACTGATTCATACTTAGAAAATATTCTGGAAATCTCCTGATTATACTGACCTGAAACTATCACACATTTGCCAACAAATGTTAAATGCACTTGGTCAACAAGAAAACTTTATGCTGTTACAGCCTTAATACATTGAAAAATGTCATACACAGAGACATCTATTTCTGCAGAAAGTAATAAAATACCTAAGCAGTTTGTCATTACCCTCTGCTTGGTTTGTCTTATTATTTTATTTAGTAAACCTGTTCTTCACACCAGTACAAAGGTTAAACTCAGCATGACCAATGCTGCTTTTCAAACATCTCTACCTGCTCCTTGAGAAATCCTATCCTGTGCTAATGCGCTACAGAAACAAGACTTGCCTCCTGAAACTTAACCCAGTGAGGGTAAAGTGGAGGTAAACCTCAGTGGCAACAGACCAGGCTTGTGCCTGATGACCGGCATGTCTCCCTGATGACTTGGCCCTGTGACCTGGCCACTGTGCATCTCTGTGGGCAGAGGTGAGTTGTTGGAGTTCAGTTGAGGTTGATTTAACAAGCATAAATAATGTTATGGTCCTTGCTCACTCCAACCGGAGTAGAGTGGCGGAGGGGCGGGGGTTAGACATGGAGAGAAATGGACCCACTGAAAAGATAAATATTTAGTACACGTAATCTACAGGACTTAGTGAGGTTTTGGATGGAGGCAGGAGGATTAAACAGACCTGAAACGGGCCCTGAGCTTTTGGACTTGTACATGTGAATAAATGGCAATGCCATTTGTTGAGATATGGAAGCTTGAGGAAGTCTAGTATAGTGATAGGGGTCATAAATTTGGCTTTAACATATTGAATTTGAGGTGCATCTGAGATATATGATGAGAGATATCATATATATGCACACACCAGAGAGCAGAGACACAGATGCATGAGTCAGATGTCTAGTGAAGTAATTGTACCCCTGGGATTGTTTGTGGGAGCGATCGTCTGAGGAAATAGCAGAGGAGAGAAGGAGGCAGCCCAGGACTAAGCTTTAAGGACCCCGACAGTAAATGTTTTGCTATTACAGGAGAATGTGCCTACAATGGAAGCCAAGGATAAGCGGCCAAAGAAACAGGAGGAAAACCAGGCATGTGTTCCCACAATAGTGCTCAACGGAAAGTGACCATGTGATCGGAAGTCAATTCTATTCATTCTAAGAACATGAAACACTATTAACAGCTTGTGAACATCATAACAAATTTCAAAATGTGTCATAAATTTTAAGGTACTTCTAGGACTCTCCCACCATAAATAATAACAAAACTACAAGAACAAGAACAATTAAAAATAATAATTTAAAAAATGTCCTTCACAAAAGGGAAGCAGTAGACTCTCACATGCTGTAGGGAATAAAACGTATTTTGCTTATTTAGTGAATGATACTGGAAGGTAGAGGCGACAGTGTTCCTTTGACAGATTCAACATTTATTTCTTTGGTTCCTATTCATGCACTAGCCACAGTTGAAGGGGGGGTGACAAATTCAAACTGTGAAATCAGCCATCTCAAAGGGCAGGATGGCAGAGAGGCAGGGTCCTCAGCTTTCAGAAAAGGGAATCATGTGAGAGGAGGGCATGGAATTTTTCCAGGTACCTTGGAGCTGCCCAGGCCTGGTCTCAGGCTATGGCAGGCCTGAGCGTCCAGCCCTTTGAAGCCAGTTCAAGCCCAGCTAAAGACGGTTAATGCTCTCATCATCATGAGACCAGTCCTGCTATAAAAGCCTTGCTATCCTGCACCTAGTTCACTGAGCTTGTGAAGCAAATGTGTTCTTCAAATGGACAGAGATTAGCTAAATGCATCATTTCCAAATAAGCGAGCGGCACTCCATCCATTTAAATTTACTCTTGTCTAAAAAAGAGGAATGAAACAATTATCCAAATAATTCTTACAGCTCTTGAAGAGGACAGTTGAGATCAGGGTTCGTGCAGACATGAGGACCGGTGGTGAGCATGAAAGAGCTGTAGAACCAAGACTAAAGGGAAAGAGTATAGGGTGTAGTAGATGATACACATGCTGCCAATGCACTTACACAAACATGAGAGCGGGGAGACAATATAGAGATCATGTTAAAAATGAACTCTTATTCAGTGATTGGTAACATACATCTACAGCTTTGTTTACCTGGACTTGGTAGAAAGAATCAAAAGTAACCTTAGAAAGATTTTTTAAGGGAGATGTTGTTTACCGCTTCTCGATCCAGAGCATCCTGGAACTCTTTCAGTCGTCTTTCCTCATACTGTTTTTCTCTGAAAATCCTGTTCTGCCACAGAACCTCCTTTTCGTGCCGCACGTGCATGAGCTGCACGGCGATCCTGCGCTCCTGCTGGGATTGCCGCATGAGCCGGTTAATCAGCTGCTCCTCGCGGTACGCCTCCTGAGGACACCATCAGAGGGGACAGTCACTTTGGGGCCCGCGTCCGCGTCTCCCAGGGGCCCAAGGCGCCCGTATGTAAATAGTGTGTACAACGCATGGAAGTCATCTGCACCAGTTTCTGCCACTCGATACAATTGGAACACGGCAAAATTGAATCATAAAAAAAAAAAAAAAAAAAAAAAAATCCCAACAAAGGTTGTATATTTTTGGTATCTAGAAGACGCATGAAGGTTTTGTAACTCCCAATTATGTTAAATGAATTATTACCTCCTTTAAAATTTGGTAAATCAGGGGATTGTTTTCAAGGTTTTATAAACAAGGGGCACAATTCTCAATTTATGAGTATGTTTACGGAAATGTGGAATTGCGCCACGTGTACTGTTAACGTAAATGCGGGTTGTAAAAACACATGCACACGCTGTCTGGCTGAAGATCGCAGATCTGACTAGTTCCCAGTGGGGACATTTCAATACCTGTGTGAGGAAAAGCAAAAATCTGACAGAAAGGCAAGACGGGAGGTGAGGCCAAGGGGAAATCACCTACTGCTTCGGTTTGACCGTCTCAAGGGTTGCGATCTGAAAGAGAAACTAGATACATTCTCCTGACTCCCTTTAAGAGAATTAAAGGGAAAGCAATAAGGGAACAGTAGAAAAAGCATTAAATTTCAGGGGCCCTGGCCTGTGCAGCCTCAACTTTACTGTTTATTGGTCGCGTGCCCCTGGGCAAGGGCCTCAGACTCTCAGGGCCTCTTTCCTTCAGGTAAAATGAGAGGTTGAGGGGGAAGGTGATCGGCAGAGGCCCTTCGAGCCCCCTCACTTGTCTAAACAGAGACATCATGTGGAAGGAGGCGGTAATTAAAGCTCTTAAGAGGGAGAAGTTAGAAGAAACTCAAGTATTGGAGCTGTCCATTTAACTCTCAAAAATCCAATGATTTAAGAAGAAAATCTGACATCACTAATGACCCTGTTTCACCTCTCTCCCACCATGAGATTATGAGAGAAATATGATATATGTTTTCAGAATCAAGATATAAAAAACAACAACAACACTCTGTGGTAAATATCAAAACTCGAACCTGGGAATTCTATAAAAATGTAGATTAAGTAAAAGTTCAACTGAGAGTAAAGATGATATTTTTTCCTGTTGAGTAATAAGTATCAGATTAAAAAAAATAAAATCATAAATGACTTTGAAAGATATGTCCCATCTAGCTATAAAATTCTAGAAGCTTTAATGTTAATCATTTGTTTCCTTTTGTGATCTAGGTGGTGGTGAGCCCGAATGTAAAAATGGCTGCAAGTTCTTCAGTTTCCTTCTCCCATAGCTTTGCAATGTTATCCTTCAGATATTCCCATCAAAAAGTAAAATCTATTTCTCCATTCCTTAAATATGGGGTCTGGGGTGATTGTTGACTTGAACTGACCAATGAGACATTAGCAAAGACACAACAAAAACCTGGGTGTCTGACTTTCTTGTGACCCCTGCCACGCCACCACATTTTCTGGTTTGCCAGGAAGTACCCCTGCCCCACAGAGAGCGGCACCAGTCTGCCCAGCTGGTCCTGACGAAGCTCTCCCAGTCAGCCGGCCCCCGCCAACCCACCCGCTGCCCCAAGACGTCTGAGTGAGGCCATCTGACCCCAGCAAGAGCACAGCGCGGCCGAGCAGCTCAAACTGCTGACCACAGAGTGGCTGGTTTGGGACACAGAAGCATAGTCACAGCCATATTTTTTTAAAACTACAACCCTGATTTATTTTTCTGAAGGAATTCTATAGTAATATAGATTATGTTCTGCCTTTGGCTGTGTTTATAGGGTAAGGCAATTTATTGTCAAGATGAGATATTGTCATAACTGAATTGGCCAGATATATTTTGATTATTGTTTGAATAACAGCACGTTATGATTTTAAAAAGAAATGAAAATTGTTGAAGGGATGAGTGAATTTCATGTACATGAAGCTTCATCGTGAAGTATTATCAAGTGTATGAAGACCAGCACCCAAAAGTTGAGTGGAAAAGATTTAGATTTTTTGTTTCATTGGACAAGTAGTTTATGTTTTAGAAATAGACTTTTTTTTTTCCTCTAAAATGTGGGCTATATTTTCTCATAGAGTGATATGTTATGGTCAGGTGCTCAGCACAGTCCAGATATCTATTTAACCCCATTTTCCAGGTATATTATCAGACCTAGATTATAAAAAGAAAAAAACCTAGGGGCTAACACACAAGTGTTTTGTAACAAATGAAAGTGTGTCCAAAATTCCATTGCCAGTTAACTCTATTTGAAATAGGCAGACGTTTTAAAATCTACTTTTTGATCCTTTAATTTTCAAAATTTGTAATTCTTCTAATTTAAAAGAAAGATGATCAAAGGACTGGATAAAGGTACATGTGAATCTGAAATGGGAAATAACTTCTTAGCACAAAGTGATGGCAGAGTTGTTCTTTGAAATTTTTCACCAAGAGAGCAGTAAATCCACCGATAGTTTTACTTCTTACTTATACAAAACCTGTACTTCCCTTCAGTTAACAGAACAGCTGAGCAGACCAGCTGTAGTTAGGGGAATAAAAGAAGTATCTTCAAATGGTCTTTTGTATTTTGGACATACATACTTGTCTTGTTTACATTCACAACTCAAACCACCGTCTTCCCCAAGTCTGTCCCTCTTGCCATCTCTCCCGTCACAGCAGATGACATCTCTATCTCCCCAGCTGCCCAGCTCACCTCCTATCCTACTTTTTCACTCTCTCATGTCTAATGAATCATTAAGTTCTGTTAATTTTCCTTCTAAAATAGCTTCTGGGGCCACTTCTCTCTACCCCCATGGCCACCACCCTAAATTTAAACCATGATCATGTCTTACCTGGATTACAGCAACAGCTAGAGCTTATTTTGCCCTCCTGTAATCTATTCTCAAAACTAGAGCCAGAGGGGTCTTTCTAAAAGCAAATCTGACCTTGTCACCCTGGTTCCCCTTGGGATAAACCATCCTATTTCCCTTAGCACAGCTTACAAGGCTCATTGATTTGGCCTCTGGTGACTCCTTTCAGGTGACATGTTAGTTTGGTGAGTAAAGCGCTGGAAACACATTCTACCTTCCGCCATTTTGGCCTCGGCGGGAAGCTGCCTCTCCCACCATCACCCCCACCTCAACTAGCTAACTCCCCACCCTTCCTCAGGCTCCTGTGCTAGCGCCCTCCAGAAGCCATCTCTGAACCCAGCCAGGGCTGCACTCCTTCCTATGTGTCACCTGTCCCTCCTGACACTTTCATTGCACCTTCTTGCCTTGATGCAGTTTATAGATCTTGCCCCAAACAGCAAGCTCTGAGAAAGCAGGTTTCTCACTGTTCTGTTCACTGTTGTATCCTAAGACTGGCGCAATCACTCAGAGCACAGGAGAGGTTCAGTGAATAGTGTTTGGAGTAAGAGCTGACCAGTGATTCTCAAATATGGTTACAGAGAGTCACGCAGGGGCCTGTGAACACAGATGACTGTGCCTCACCTTAGTGCTGCGATTTGAGTTTTTGATTTGTTAGGTTTGAGGTTCCTAGAAGTTTCCAGGGATGCTGATGCTGCTGGTCCAAAACCACACTTTGAGACCACTGGAGCAGAGCAAGGTACAAGCTGATGAACAACTTTTCCATGTTGTTTTCATTTAAAAAGTTCCCTTTTTTACATCAATAAATGCGGGAAAAGCAACACTTGAAAAAATTCAATATTCTTTCATGATAAAAACTGTCACCACAGCTAACAGTCCTAACCAGACAAATTGGCAAGAAAAAGCAAAAGAAGTGATCTAAATTAGAAAGGAAAAAATGAAATTATCTCTGTTTGCAGAGGACATGGTCTTACAGAGAGAAAACTCAAAAGACAAAGAAAAAAACTGTTGAAACTAAAAAACAAATTCAATAAACTTTTAGGATAAAAAATCAACATATAAAAATCAGTCATGTTCCTATACACTAACAATAACTATCTGAAAAAGAAACTAAGAAGACAATCCCATTTATAATAGCATCAAAAATAATAAAATATTTACAAATTCAACTAAGAAAATAAAAGATCTGTACACTGTAAATTATAAAAGATTGATGGAAAGAATTGAAGAAGACAAAAATAAGTGGAAAGATACACTATATTCATTGATTGAAAATTAATAATGTTAAAATGTCCATAATACCTATGGTGATCTACAGACTCAATGCAATAATCACTATCAGAATTCCAATGGAATTTTTCATAAACCTAGAAAAGCAATCCTAAAATTCATACAAAGCCATAAGAAGACTCCAAGTAGCCAAAGCAATCTTCAGCAAGAAGAAAAGAACTGCAGATATCACACTCCCTGATTTGAAAATATATTACAAACCTGCAGGAATCAAAACAATGTGGTACTGGCATAAAAACAGACATATAGACCAATGGACTAGATTAGAGAGCCAAGAAATAAATCCACACACGTACAGTCAACTGAGATTCAACAAGGGTGCTAAGGCTACACAATAGGGAAAGGACAGTCTAACAAATGGTGCTGGGGAAAATGGATATTCACATGCAGAAGAATGAAAATGTACCCTTATCTCACACCATGTACAAAAATCAACTCAAATGGATTAAAGACTTACTAATAAGGCCTGAAATTATAAAACTACTGAAAGAAAAACATAGGGGAAAAAACTTCTTAACATTAGAGTACGCAATGATTTTTTTTTTTTTTTGGATATGAACCAAAAGCAGAGAGCCAACGAAAGCAAAAACAGGCAAGAGGAATTGCATCTAACTAAAAAGTTGTTGCACAGCAAAGGAGACAATCAAAAGGGTGAAAGGCCAAACTATTGAATGGAAGAAAACATTTGCAAATTATATACTTTGGTTAATATTCAAAATATTCATGGAACTCAAACAACTCAATAGCAAGAAGAGAAATTAAATAACCCAATTAAAAAATGAGTAAAGAACCTGAGTAGACATTTCTCAAGACAAACAAATGGCCAAAGGTATATGAAAAGGGGCTCAACATCACTATTCATGAGGGAAATTAAAATCAAAGCCATAACAAGATATCATCGCATACCTGTTAGAATGGCTATTTTCAAGAAAAACAAAGAGAGAGAGAGAGAGAGAGAGATAACTAGTGTTGGCAAGAATGCGGAAAAAAGAAAACCCTTGTATAAACTATTGGTAAAACTATGAACTAGAAAAGCCAATATGGAAAACAGTCTTGTGCTTCCTCAAAATATTTAAAATAAAACTACCATATGCCTCTACAATCCCACTTCTGGGTATATATATCCAAAGGAAATTAAATCAGTATCTCCAACAGATATCTGCGCCCCCAGTATTCACTGCAGCATTATGCACAATATCCATGATATGAAAACAATCTAAGTGTCCGTCAATGTAAGAAGAGATAAAGTGTGGTATACATATGCAATGAAATATTATTCAGCCTCAAAAAAGGAAATCCTGCCACTTGTGACAACATGGATGAACCTGGAGGACATTATGCTAAGTGCAATAAGCTAGACACAGAAAGACAAACACTGCATGATATTACTCATACATGGAATCCAAAAAAGTTTAACTTACAAAACTAGATCTTAAGTATTCTCACCAAACACAAAAAAGTGGTAACTATGTGAAGTAATGAACATGCTAATTAGTTTGATTATGGTAATCATTTTACAATTATATATATATACACATATATATATAAACACATCACAGTATACACCTTAAGTATATACAATTTTTGTCAATTATGCCTCAATAAAACTGAGAAAACACATTCCCCTTTACTTCTAAAATTAACAACAGACAACACATAGTTGACAATAGTTTTTAGATTCCTTTTTTATGTGTTTTTTTTAAATTATGGTAAAATATACAAAACATAAAATTTACCATTTCAACCATTTATAAGTGTAAAATTCAGTGGTACTAAGAACACTCATAGTGTTGTACAACTCTTAGCAGATCTTACATTCTTTAGTAAATGTTTTTTGTAGTTTTTTGTTTTTTTTCAGAGTATACTTGCTGTTATGATGTGAGGATGTCCCATTGACATTTGAGTCACAGCAGCAGATAATACATACATACGATACATATATATACATAATGTATATATACATAGTGTGTATATAAAAAAACTGCATTTTTATATGCATAATGTGCATATAAAAGATGGCATTTTGTAAAATTTCCAACACTATCATTTAACCAATATCTAAATATCTTACCTCTTGCGCCTCATGGGCTATTAACTGATCCATTAACAATCTCCGTCGTCTTTTCTCCCTTTGTTCTCGAGCAAAAGCATCTTCTTCAAGGCGTTTTTGGATTTTTTTAATGTATTCATCATCCGAGTAAGTGTTTAACAAATCAGCAGTTGTCTGGCCCGTTCTATCTAAAGAAGCCTTGGATGCACTAAGGACAATAGTTTTTATTTTAGATTCCAAAAAGAATGTGATCACAGGCCGCTACTTGTGACCGTGGGGGAAGAACTCAGGAGACGGTCCCCTTGAGCACTCTGTGAATTTATTAATGTAAGTATTCCAGTGAAAGATATTAGAACTTCAGGGTGACACTCCTAGCTTGTCAGTAGATTCCCCCGCCGCCCCCCTTTTCTGGACTCTCATCTCTGTGAGGTCCTGAGTGTACAGAGCCTTCTCTCTAGGCTCATCAACTCCCTGGTCTTTTACGTCTCATGATCTTCACTCTACCCCAGACATTCTGGATCTTTCTCCCTCTTCTTCCTGCAGGCTCTAGGCCTCTTGCTTCTCCTGGTTTGAGTCAGCAGTCGTACAGCATTGATAACCCAGGGGTCAGGGAAGGCATCCCTCCACAAGGGTCAGTCAGGTGTACCGATGTCAGGACAAAGTACTTCCAAGGTGGCTCCTTCTACTATCTCTCTCCCACCTATGCACATGCCAGCTGCTCTGTGAGCTCCCAGCCACTAACGGACTGCTGAGGGCCGCGACCCGGCTCTTCCTGGAGGCTCAGCAGCTGAAAGTTGACTTGCTCTTCACGCCACACTCATAAGCACAGGTCTGACCCGGCTTCTCCCCCAAGTCCTGGAGACCCAAGGTGAAAAGACCTCCCTTGGGGCTTCTGTCCTACCTCATGTCCAAAACTAAAGGGTCAGAATAGTGTGTGCCAGGTGGTCAACACAAAGAAAATGCACTTAATTCGGTGAGACAGATAGTGGCGTAGAAGAGCATTTATAGATTCATTCAAAAGTTATCATTAAAAGTAACAGGTACATTTTTATGTCTATAAGATCAAATAATCAATTCTTATCCACATACCTCTTTAAAAAATAAACAATGTAATATAATAGTACAAGATATAATGGGACTTGCCAAGAAATAGTGAATTTCAATATTATGAACAATTGTTGTTTTTATGTTATTTGTCTAAAAATTAACAATTTTATTCAAAAGACAAGGACATGTTATTGTGTGTAAGAACTAAGCACTCATTAATTCTCATATAGAGAGAATACTCTTGTAAAAGCAGAGTTAATCCATATTTAATGAGGTAATGATCACATGTTTACAGTACAGATCACATTATATTACACTGCATTGTTTTCAGGTTTGCTACTGCCAGCTGAAATATGAGCTCCTAAAACAAATACCCCATTTTACTGCTTTCTGTACCTGTGCCTCGTATGCCTGACATGCAGTTGATGTCTGCTCAATTTCAAATGATATGCTACAAGCACTACACAAGTGTGATATAATTTTGAAAACCATACACTAAAATTCTGGTTATTTTATCAGCAGGGGCTTGACCTTCAGTTGTATCCTGTCACTGAGAGTCGCTGAGCAGAAACTGAGTAGCAGTCAAAGTCTCAGTAATATCGAAGACTAGGTTTATCCCTATTTATTTATTAAAATTTAGTATAATTAAGTGCTTATGAAAATTATGTGGCACAACTTTTTAGATCATTCATCAAAATTCTTATTATATTTTTACATAAATATGTTGTTTAAAAGACTTTGTCCTGGATTGAGCATGGGTTAATAGCTCTTTCGACATTGTATTTATGCTACCAGTAATATAACTGACGTATTTCTCCTCCGCCATTTATCAGTCAGTCTCTCCATCTGTCCCATCCATCCATCTGCTTTCTGATTACAATACAGGTCTGCACAAAGCTACATGATGCTTTCTTAATGTATTCATTTTAATGGAAGTGGATTTATTGGGGGCAATAATTATGTTTTCTTTATATCTGTCTGCTTGCCAGGCCTCCATGGAGTTAACATGTGCTCACATATTTATAAATATAAAAAACGCAGTTGCCAGGAAGAGCTAAGGGAAACGTGTGTATCCAAACATCAGCCTGCAGCAGCCAGCAACCTCAGCTATGGAATAAAACTGCAGAGAGCATTCCTTCTTTGTCTTAAAAAATAAAGAATGTGTATGTGTGGGGGGGAAAGTAGCCACAGAACGCTTGTGTGGCTGCATTGAGACATCATTTTGTTCTTCCACAAAAGAAGGAAGATGCACTTGGAGGTGACACCCCTGAGGAACTGTCTCAGGAGCTGGCTGTAGCTGCAGAAACTGCTCCTTAGGGTCACCCAGTGGAAAGTTTCTCAACAAGCCCAGAACACACCTGGTTCTAAGCTAAGAATTTGCAGTGCACCACAGCTTTTGCTTGTGTTAAGTTTGCTCTAGACCAGCGCTTCCCAACCTTTTCCATTGCAGGGCCATCAGAGAAGATGCTCTTTGCAGAGCACACGGGAAGGGCTTTCCATCTCTGATGAGGCTGGTCACAGAGGAGGGGACGGGTCCGGGGGCTTTTGCTTCCCAGGCCCTACCTTGCCCCTGGGAAGCAAGGGAGTCCTATTGGTGGTCCCTAGCAGGGAATCTCTAGAAAGGTCAAGAGGAGGCTCCTACAGAGAAAGGACTTGCAATAGACACTGCTATTTCTCTCCTTCGTCCCTCCAAACAGAGCCCAAATTTTATTCAGGAAAACAATGTACCTGGCTGAAACCTACTTTTCTCAAACTCCCGTTCTGCTAGGTATGGTATTGTAACTGAATTTGGCCAGTAAGATGTAAGCATAACTGTTACGTGGGACTTCTGGGAAGGCTCCTAAAAGGAGTTAGTTGAGGTTGGAGATGGCTACTTCGGCCTACCTGGCTTCCTGATATCCGGAACCGGGGCCTCCTGGCCAGGGCTCCGGCCGCCGCCGGCCGAATGGTGAGCGTGCTGCTGTGCCTGGTGTTACCTACCGCTGGTGGCTAAACTGTGTGGGGTCCCGGGAAAGGGGCGGCCACGGAGCTACAGAGAATACCGTTCCGCCAAAAGTAACAAAATATTTCAATATTTTAAGATGGTCGTTCTGGTGGATACCGTCTGTTTAGCACTCCAGAATGTGTGGCTGATAGATGAGTGAAAGAGTTGGGAGGAATCCAGGGGTTTCAGGGGCGTCAGGCGGACATGGTGGGGTTCAGGTGGTGGCTGCCTGAGTGAGCGGGCTTGGGTTGTGTTTTCTTACGGAGCCTGGGAGGCACTGGAAAATGGGAGTGGGAATCAGATTAGGGCATGAGGAGTCCCGCAGGTGAGGGGCAAGGTCCTGCATGCATTCATTTTGCTCGATTTTCCTTCCATACCTGACTTCCTCACTGTTTCTTTTCCTAGCTTTATCTGATTCTTCTTCATTTGGCTCTATTTCCTTCTTTCAGAAATATTAATATGGGAATAGAGTATATAATTTGTGTCTTTCTTCTTTAACAAAGATTTATTTTGTAGTCTATAAATTATAAATGAGTAGAGTTTGGTGGTTTCCATGTAAAAATGAAAAACAACAACAACAACTAAACTCACGTTGCTCCTATGTATGGAGTCCCTAATCAATTATGTTCTGTGAGTCGATGACCCCCTAATAAGATATCTTTAACTCTGGGCAAATTAAGCCTATTAATCAGGCACTTTTTGCAATAAATTCCCTGAACTGATTTAGGGACATTTGGTCAGCAAGCTGATTCAACAACTGTTTCCTGAAACCTTGCGGTAAATGCTAAGGGTGCAACGTGGGAGAAACCACCTAGAGTCTAATAAAGGATTTCCTGTGACAAATTTAAACTTGAAAATATTTTGGTGAGCATTTAAAAGATGTGTGGGAACTTACAAGAGTAAGCAGAGCAAGAGTATAGAAAAATAATTTAACTTTGCATCATAACAGACACTTTCCCTCTTGAACTTAACAAAAGTTGTTAATGAACAGTTAATCTGAACTTTAAGTCATTTATCTTCTTTCATTACTCTCTTAATGAAGATTCTACAAAGTGAAAAGATCTTGGGAACACCTATTCCAGGTAAACTATTTCTAAATATTCAAAAATTGCAGGTAGAAAAGAATGTAGTTTTGTGATTATTAAAATAGTTCACAGCCCACCTTTCCTTTGCCTGGAGATCCTTTTTCAGTAATGCTTCAAACTTCTCAATCTCTTTGGCCACATCCTTGAAAAAAAAAATGATTATCAAAATCATAGAGTTTTCTGCCTCTAAAAATCATTGTAAGTCTTCATTTACCATGTTTATTCAAATTTATAAGATGATATGCACTATCAATTCAAGGTAATTAAGAGGTGAGATATGGAAAGCTGCACTCCAACATACTTTTTCATTCTGATTTGTTACTGCAACTCTAGGCTAAGTATACCTAAAATAATATGAAAATTGCCTAATCTGAATCATTCATTTCACAATTTTAGCTCTGACAGGGCAAAAAAGGGCATTTAATAAGAAGAAAGATTATCAAAGAGTTAGGATATAATTTTTTTGTTTAAACATTTTCTTAGAGTCAGCTTTTTTAATTGCAATTTTTAAAATGAGAATACGCATTTTTGGATATAAATATTCTTTAAAAATCACTGTCTCTGGTATTTTAAACATTTCTCATGCAATCTTATGTATACTATTAATTTGGTCTCTGAAAGTTCATTTTAGTTCTGCTTCTGTCTACTGCACTTCTTATTAATAAAATTCAATCACTGGGAAATATAAGAATTATGTATTTTATTAAAATGGGGTCTGAAGAAAACCTGTGTGGCTAATATTTTTTGGAATCCAAGCACAGGATTTTTTAACATTAAAAGTAAATGTAGAAAAATATAAAATACAGTGACTTTAGAAATCAGAGAGACCTGTCAATCTCTGGTTTACCAGCATTGTGAACTTGGGTAAAACATGTCAGCTTTCTGAGTTTCAGTTTCCTTATATACAAAATGGGCAAAATAATACCCTACCTAGAGAATCACTTACAGATAAATCAAAGATAATGTGAAGTGCTCAATCCATAGCCTGACATGTAGCAGATGCTCAGTAAATGGTAGCTATAAATCTTTTCCTTAGGTCACAGGAGAGAGTATCATTGATATTATTATAGTAGCATGCAGACTAGACTGCAGGAATCGTGTAAAAATGTAGTATTGCTCTCCTGTGAAATAGGATCAGATTGTATCCTCTGGAATGATTGAGAGTTGGTATGGTCTGGCAAAATATCACTTGTGTTGGTAACTTAAATTTAAATATGCTGATAACAAGCAAATCACTTAACATTTCTAGGATTTACAGAAAAACAGTGCAGCGTGGTGAGGAGAAATTGAGTAAAAGCATAGGGCAGGCACAGCACATACACAGTGCGCCTCCGCTGGCCCCAGGTGCCCCATGGAGTCATTGTGACAGCTCCCGCTCTGGCTGGTTCGTTAGTGATCACAGGATCCCCAGCGCAGGAGGTCAGATCGGTACTGTCATTTAATAGGAGTCTGTCATCCCTTGCCTGAAGCTACATTCCTTGTTTCTGAACAAACAGCAGTGTAAAATGGATTGAATATGCGTATAGCAGAAGCGTTTCAATGAGAAGCAACAATGCCAGGGGTCATTTGAAAATAAAATAAGTAGTTTTGGGAAGTCTATATGTTTTAAGGAGAGATCATTTTTTTTATTAAAATAAACACACAATTTTAATAGACTATCACTTACCTCTGTTTCTTTTTTCTTCTTCATCATTTTTTGGGCCTCAAGTGCTTTCAGAGTACGATTTGATGCAGGTTTAGGAATCTGTATGATAGCCGCCTGGATTTTGGCCATTATTTCATTTTGTCGTCTTCTGCTCAACCGTTGCTGAATATGCCATATACATTAGTTCAGTGATTCAGTTCATCAGAATAATAGGCAGTTACACACTCACAGGTACATGTATATATAATTTTTCCATGGAAATTTTCAGAACTCATCAATTAACCAATGGACTGGGTTTCACAAGTGTATAATGTGACAAAGCAGGTGTCAACATGGCTTAGTTTGAACAGTAGGATATTAAAACACAGTCTTGGAGTCCCCAAATTATGCTAATTAACTGTGTTTTTACTCTGGGTGCTGATACTGAAAGAAATATAAAGGTGTTCCAAACACAAAGAAGAGTATAATTCTTCCCCAGTTCCACCTTCATGGCCTTCCCAGTAATGGAAGGGGAAATTCTGTTTCTGAAGGTGGTCTGAAGAGAAAAGTCCGCCCAGGACATGGTCTCCAGGAGGGTTCTTGGGAACCGGACAGAAATGACAAGTTTCTCCCAAACTCAGTCACATTTAAACAATGAGTTCAGAGACTACATAAAATATTGAACTAACACTAAATTATGAGATTCATTATTGAATATCTCTTTTCTAGGTAGGCAATAATTATTTTAAGAAGGATATAAACACAAGAGCATAATTGAAAAAAATGCAGTGAAAATCTAATAAAATATTTTACATATAAATGATTTAAGAGGTAACATGTGAAACTTATCAGGACTTTACTACTAAAGCATTATATTAAAACTAATAAGATCATTAGTACCTACTTCCAAAGGTAAGTTACATCAATTCACCATTAAAAGCCAGAAATTATAAATAACTTAAAAATTCTGCTCAAGTCATTTTCTAAAATGTGAATTTTCATTTAACTGCACAATGTTTATCTTTTTCCTTAAGACAACCAGGAAGAGATAGGCCCTCCCTTATGTCCTGCTTGCTTCTTATCATTTTAAACACAATAATTTATTTCAGAATAGCTAATGGCATCATACTGTGTTTTCCCCGGCTTTCTTTGGAGACACACCCAGTAGACTTGACACACCAAGGCCGGGCAGGCTGGTTCCATGAAGAGTCCCAGCACTCTGTCCCGACCTGACTGCTACGTTAAGGGCGCCTTGTCTCCGTACCATGAACTGCCCAGGGAAGCCCAGGCCTTTTTCTACTCTATGTCAAGTAGTGCGATCATAAGACCTTCCAGAGCTTGTCTCTCATCTTTCCCTCCCTCCTCACAAGGAGCTCACTATACCCAGGTCATGTTAATTTCTTACCATTCTAACTATGAATTTATACTGAATGATTTCTAGTGCAATTAGAAGAACTATAATTCCTCTGCCTGTAGTTTACACATTCCATACATGCAGCCACTTGAAATTCTCTTAAAAGTCTTTAATTATCCTACACACCATTGTCCTCTCCTGTCTTTAATGGCACAAGGGATCATTAAAGACTTTCAGAGAAATGTGAGAAACAGCGGGGTGTTAGTCAAAGCCAGAAGGACCGGGAAGGTGTTAAGAGATGTATAAGGAGGCTGGAAAGGAAGCAAGCCACATTGCCAAGAAGAGAGGAATGGGGCAGGATAGAAGACCAAGGGGTTGCAAAAGAGGCAAAGGGAGAGGGAAATGTCTACTCTGTCTCCCTCAGTGGTGACAGTGGTCATTGCCTTCCCTGGAGCAGCCAGTAGGAACCCCTGCCCCATCACTAATGCATCTGGTTCATTGACTTCTACCAAACAAGTTAAAAAGCGATCAAGCTGGCCTGTCATTCCAGAAAATGGCAGTTCTTGTTTTGTAGCCACAAGTGGAGGTGATAGTCAGCAGGAGTAGGGGTGGCGAGGAGGGAAAAGTGAAGGAGAGGTGAGAGCAGGCAGAGCATGAGTCATGCAGCAGCAACATGCAACCTGTGCTACATTAATGCTTATGCGATATGTACTATAGGCATAAATCGCAAACAGTATATTATGCACTAATGAGCTTCTGTTAAAATTGTTCTATAAAACCTTTTCGATTTTTAAAGTTCTTTGTTCTTCTTTGAGTTTTTGAAATTTTTGAAGTTTCTCAAAATGCATGCGGACAAGATCTTCTTTCATGTGTATATATTTTTCTTGAAACCTGTGTGTAACCCGCATCAGATTGAAATCAGTTTGACGTGGTATCAGGTTTCTAAGTCTCTAAATGAAGAAAGCATTTCAAAAGATGCCATTATTAGAGAACAAAGAATATATTATTGTTACAAGCACATAAAGTTTGTCTTCAAAATAAAATTTCTATGAAATACTCTTGTCGGTTGTTAAAATAATTTTAAGCCCATACTAATTATTCATATCCTTAATTGATTTAAGGAGAATACAACAACATGATTTGAATTCCTTCTTACAAAATAATCTATATACTTTTATAGCATTTTTTTGTCCTGAGCTACATTTTCAATAAATGGTATTTGAATTTTTGAAAATATATTTTCATAAAAATAATATTATAAAACCAATTTCAAAACATAAGAGATAATATAAGAAGCCAGATTCTTTCTATTACTTGAGCTCCTTCCTCATAACAAGTGAGAAAACATTAAAACTTCCAGGCCACTGAAGAGCGCAATATTACAAGAAAATAAACTGTTAAACATGATTACAAAGTAAGACACAGAAACATGGACAATGTACTTAATTAAAACTTTCATATTCAAAAGTAATCTCTTTAGGAGCGAAAGTCTTCCTGAAAAAAATGATTGTTTGAACCAGTTTTGGTCCTTCTGACAGCATCTCGGTAGATACTGGCACTTATTCTGAAGACCATATCAGGACCTTTGATCTGACTTGAAGCCCTTCCACGCCTCCTGGCTTTCTCTCTGTGAGAAGCGGCCTGGCTTCTGACTTCACAGCGATCACAAAAATGTAAGGTCCGTGAACATCCTACCTCTCCACTTCAACACGTAACTCTATCTTCCACTTAGTGCTTCCTTTTCCCTCAACCCGGCAAATAATGCATTGTGATATCAGAGTGCCTACTGTTCAGAGTGTGGCTTCTAGATTCAGATTGCTGTGGATTGAGTTTCAGCTACCAGCTTCACAAAACTGGGTAAGTTAACTCACCTCCCTATCTTAGTTTCATTATCTACAAAATGGGAAAAGAAACAAATACCTATCTCATAGGACTGAATGGTCTCTTGTTTTGCCTCATCTACATAGCTCTGTAGCACCTGTTAGTGTTGTCTATTTTATATTTTACAAAAAAAAAATGTCTTCTTGAAGCTACAAAAGAGCCTAACTCTGAGGCAGATACAGATAATCATCATTCTTTTTATAGCTGGGATAATTAAGACTGTTTTATGGACTGGCCCAAAATTAATCAGCTTGTAGGTGAAGAAAGCAGGATACAATACTAAGTTATTTAGCTTTAAGCCTAACCTAATTGCTAGCTCTCCATGGGCCCTGAATTCATTCTGCTACCAGGCTCATAAGAATGTCCATTAGGAACAGACGAATCTGAAAGTAGAAGTTACCCTCACACACATCTATTATGTCATTGTTGCCTCATGATTAAATGGAAAAATTTTAATTATTTCCATTTGTGTTTAGTGCATTGCATTAGTGTGGCACTCCCCATTATCCCAGAGACCCGGAAAAGTTCATGCATGCACTGACCGTAAGGAAATAGCACAGAAACTGGAGAGAACTGTCTACTGGGAAGTCATATCAATTTATCAAAGTATGTCTGATGGGTATTTGCAATGTTCAAAGCATGGTACTAGACATATTCCTTGAATGAGAGGAACTGAAAACCTCGTGAGACCATTAGACACATAAATATTGAAGGTTGGCAGTCATATCCGTGCAGGGGGTGAACACTGATAGAGTGAGAATTACCTGTGCCCACGGAAGTCCCTGGGAAGAGTCCCCATGCACTAAGAAGCTGCACAGAAGTAGACAGAGAAAAGCTTGGGGGACAAGGAGAGGCGAGAAGGATGAGCGTGGCCGAGAGAGGAAAGGGTGGAAATACACAAGTCCCATTCAAGGACAGGCTTCCAAACAATGTAGGAGAAAGGCTGTATCTGAGGGCTATGAAGAAATAAAGTTAGCAGGACAGGTTGAGAATAGTTAGCGAAATCGGGAGACAGAATATATGTCAAGTAGAAGGGTTCTAAGCAAAGGAAGAACCTACGGAGAGTGGAACTTAGAGATTTGTCTAGTGCAAAGCATGAAGCTCAGGAGACATGTTAGTAGGCTCATAAGGAGACCTGAGCAGATAGGCTGGGGGTCTAATTGGAAAGAGAGAGGCAGGCACTGGGAATTAAGAACAAACAGAATTTGATAAGCTATTAGAAATGTGGATAGCATGCAGACAGACATCAACAATTGATAAATACATTGAAAATAATGATGTAAAATAAAACCCAAGTATGGCCAATAACACACAGAAGGGACGCACACCCCCCCTGGGGCTTCTCAGAGGATGCGGCCTCACTGTCATTTCTCTACCAAGTTTTACACTGGGACACACCAATGTCTCTCTTTGTACTTACATCTCGAAAAGCCTCACTCTTCATGTTCTGTAGCCTCGTTTTGCTCAGGGGCTGCGTGGCTTGCAGCTCCACTCCGGGCAGCCTGCTTCTCGTCCTCTTCTGGAGAGCAGTATACAGTTCATATATGAGTTTCGTTGCTGCCCCAGGCTTTTCCGTGATAATGTTGTTCGCCACCTTCGGATCAAACTGCACACCCAGAAGGCGAAGTTTTGGCTCCAAGCGAGAAAAATTACTAAGTTTGGCACTCGAAACCCTAGGTATTGGAATATTTTACATATTTAGACATCGGCTTTGAATTAAAAACAAAAAAATATCAGCTATTATCGTGATCCAATAGTCTGAATTATCCCATGACCCCCGTTTTTTAAACAAAATATAGCATTCCTCTCTAAAACCACTCAATCATATAAACACATTGAGCTTCTCTATTGTCCTGAATTTTATGCATCTACTTCTCTTGAATGAATAAATTAAAATTCATTAATATTATATTTTTTCCTGCTAAAATAGATGCTAGAATTTTGACAAGAAGTCAATACAAAACCAGAAGACGAGGTTCCTTTTTCTAAATGGAAAAACTTAACTATCGTTTTGAAAAATACTTTACCCAGAAGTCAAAATTGCAAATTAAATGTCTATTTCATTAAATGACATTATTACTACTGTCTGAAAATAGCCCTGAACACTGTACTGACAACTCTAGCAATGAGCCTCAGGCACTGTCAAAAGTATTTAATTAGGTAGCATTACTATTCAATCAAATTAATTGTGTAATCGTCACTTAACAATTTATATTACTACTTTAAGAATCAGTAAAAACTTTCTAATTATAATAAGTTACATCTATTTTTGAATTACCTAGTATCAAATTAGGCTCACATTTTAGAAGAAATTCATGATTTCATTGATTTATTAATTTACTCTCAACTAACAAACATTTATTGCATACCCATTACATACAAAGGACTTATTTATTAAATTTGTCATGCAAATAATATGTAAATAATTATACATAAATTCACAAATGTATTAAACTTTTACAAAGATTAATAACAGGTAGTGCCTGCCCTGGATGAGTAAGCAAATGGTGATAAATTGACGTATGTGTTGTAATAGAAGTCTCAAATGACCTAGGGCTGGTAATGGGCCGATAGGTCCAGTGACAGAAATAAAGCAAAAGATGTTGGAAGCATTTTCAACCGTTGTGCCTCTGTATGATCTACCTGGATACAAATATCAATTTTAAACACTGGCTTATTTTCTCTTTAACTCCCAAACACTTAGCAACGTTCCTTAATAGAAAAAAATATACTGAATATAGTTGAATATAAGTTAACATCCTACCATCCCTCACCAAACGATACCTTCAAACAGAGGGAGTTGCCATGTATTTGGCAGAATGTCTAATATAATACGATTACCTGCTCAATAACTTCACTTTGGATTATGAAATTATTTGGGGGAAGACACTGTAGCCTTCAACAATTTCAGTTAAATGAGATCACTTAACACATAAACTTTATATGCTGTTCCTAGCTAGCATACTGTATCTCAAGAGATTGCCCTCAAGTAGTGGTTTTAAACATTTTTTTTGAAAATCACATATAGCATTGAAAACTTGATGAGATTAATAGAACCTTTTCAACAGGAAGGAAAACACACATTCACACAAATACTCAAAGTGTGTATACCATTTTGGGTGTTTGTGAATCTCCTAAAATCTAGCCAAAAGTGCCCATTAAGTGCAAATTAAAAACCTACCTCTAAAAGGAGATGGGGCTGGGGAAATAGATAAATGATTTCAAAATATGGATAAGGAGCCAATATCACGGGAAGGGCAATGTCAGCAAAAACAGTGACACACACCTTGAATTCCTTTTCTAGTTATGTAACTTATAGTTATATTTCCTCTATTTACTATTACCCCTTTAACAGAAATATTAGGAAAGCATACAACCAAACTTTGAATATAATATCTTAATTTAATAAAAGAGAAACAGACCTTAGAAGGGATGAGAAGATAAAATGAATGCTACTAGAAAAGCTGAACAGTAAGAGCAGATATTTTTTTAGGTCTTCTCAGGTCCATTTTTGCAATGTGCTCCCCAACAAATGACTTAACAGGTTGAGGGGACAAATGTTCGCCTAAAATGATTAGGGTAAAGCAGACTGTATTTTAAAGAGTATGACTGGGAATGAGGACAGTCAGATCAATGACTTGTGGTTACATTTCTTGGACAGGGACCTTATACCTCTTTTCATCTTCCTTCACAGTTAACCTTTCATGCTCTTCCGATCCTAGGAGTCCCCGAGATGTATTTGGGAAGATATGACCTGAGGGCCACTTGTCAGAGCTTTGACCTGGGTCATAAGCTTAGGCTGAAGAGGTTAAGAGCAACATAATTCAGAAGGGAGAATCTAGAAACAAACACTACTCATTTCCAAATTTCATCAAAGCATAGCCCTGCACCCAGAGAAAGCGAAGGATTACGTGGTCGTCAGAGCGCACTGAAATAGTATGGTTCAGTCACATATGAGGCTTTAAAATACTTCTTACAGACAGGCCAGAGTATCTGGGTTTACCAGTACTTTTCTCTGGAAGCTTTTAATTCCCACCCAGTCAAAATCTGGGGAATATAACTGGCATGTAAATTGCTGGAAGTCCACTCTTGCTATATAGCTTATGCTCAACCACTGTAATACGAGAGCCAACAGTTGTTTTTGAATGCAGGGGAACCCCTGGGACATCCTTGCTCTGGAGACACAGCACATGACGTAAGCGGTGACTCTGAGGACTAAGACGTGTATTCCGGGAAAAGCCTTCTCCCTCCCCACTTGCAGTTCTTATTTGCCAAGGGATTACGTCTTTCCTCTCCTCCTTGCTTCCCAGGGAGGGAAGGTACCTTCCAAAGTAAGTAGACATCCTCCCAAAGACATCTATGCTTCTTTACTTTACTTTTCATTCTTTTGACTAATCTGCTCATTTTCCACTTTGAGATGGACTAAAAATATTCTAAAACAGAGAATTCTTTCAGAGTTAGATGAGTTATTCTTAAGACTTAGTAATTTCCAGGGTGAATAACTTAGTCATTAGCAATATACACTTAATTTATTGTTTACATTTTAGATTAAAGAAAGACTAAAAACATTAGACAAAATCCCCAAATCATGAGTTCTGGCACTAGACAGCTGCCTAAAAAAATAGGTTTTAGCAAAGAAGGATTCTCTCCCCACCCAATACGCTATTACAAAAGCCATGTTCATGGATGTACTGATTTTTGCCTTCAAGAGGCTTCTTGCCCTGGAAAAAAAGTGAGTTGTTCCAAGAACTAAAGATGGATCGTACTTGGTTGTCTGGGGAAGGAGGTGCCCCCCCCACCTTCAGGATGGCGCAGACACCTGGGGGAACAGAATGTTGGTCCTTTGCCATGGGAAAAGCAGGGCTGTCACGTGTGATGATAAGCAGGGCACACACCTATGCAAAGGCGGGGCGGGGGTGTGAGAGCCACCTGTGCTCAGTTTGCCAACCCCTCCCTGTGGCATGAGGCTGCTTCGCCCATCCGTGTTCTTTGCACAAATATCTCTCTGTTCACTAGAACCTGTCTTCACAGCTGCGTCCATCCAGGTAGGGTCCCTTTTCCATTTCACACAAAGGCCCTCTGCGACCCTGCTAACAAGAGCCATTTAGTCCACCTGAAACACTGCCTGTGCGATATGGTCACTATGGCCCTCTGCGTTTTCTATGGCTAAATAGGTCTCCTTTCTGCATCATTTGTTTATCCAATGGAGAAACATTCGTGTGTGTTTGCTACAGGCTGGAAGGAACGCTGGGCACACAGAGAATAAACACACTTTGCACCTTTGCAAACTGGTTGGGGAGAAAACACTTATACATTCATTCATGAGCCTTTGTTTGGGTGCTTTCATGTGGCTGGCACTCTGCAAATAATTGACTTATAAATAAATAATTACAACTTAAAGTGATGAGGGAAGGGTCAACCAAATGCTATTAGAATGAACAAAGAGGGAACTTACTCTTCTAGGGCAGTCAAAAAGGACTTTGGAGAAAGGGTGCATTTTCAGTTGGTCTTAAGAATGAATAAAGTTTCTTGTGTTGAAAGTGAAGGAAGAATATTAATATACAAAGCACAACAAAAGTACAAGGCATAACAAAAATATGTGGTGTGTTTGTGGACCAGAGTGGCTTAGGTTAGGTTTCCAGCTTGGTGGAAAATGCGGCTGAAAAGGTGGATGAAGGTCACCCTGGGAAGCGCCTTATAAGACGTGCCTGGAGAAAGAAAAACTGGAATGTCTAAAGTGTTTTAAACTGATGGGACTATCACACGTAAAGACGTGGGTGTAGAGTTTTTACCTTCCTACTGAGGAGTGTACACAGGATTTCTATATGTAGGATTTACCAGGATATGCAGTTATGCATTAACTCAAAAGCATTTGCTGAAAGCCAAATATGTCTGTGATAGCCCAAGAGATGCAAATAAAAACAGCGCAATACTTCAGGATGTTTGAATGTAAAATGTGAAATGTGAAAGAGACTCAAGTAAAGGAAGGGACAACAAGGAGATCAGTGTTAGAATAAGTAAACATATAAGATAAGTGGATAACTTCCATGAAAGGGAAATAACAACGAAGGACTGGAAATCTGCTCACACATGGGTCACGACAAATCGGGCTGTGCATTGAAAAGCTCCTGAGGGAGAGAATGGCGGGGGAGGGGAAGGAGGGCGTGGGCTCTCTCTGCCCGCCCTGGGGAGCAGCCCTCAGAGGCTGATCCTGGCTTCTGAGAAAAGGAAGGCAGCACAGGTGGGAGCGGAGCGGGCAAAGGGCTCGGAGCTCAGGCTGGGGAGGCAGTTGGGGCCAGACTGTGAGGGGACTTGTACACCTTACCCTTGAGCAAGGGCTGTGAGAGATGGGGTGAAGGGTATGCATTAGAATGTCCCTCCGTACCATGGAAACTTAATAAGTTATCTGGGATGAAAATGAATTCCCAATCCCTGACTTCTCTTGTATCCTACTATTATTCCCTGTGCAACTAGCAAAATCTGAATGGTGAAAGAATCACTCACCTCTAGAATGGAAGTGTCGGGTTCATTTGCCCAAAAGACTTGTAACATAGGTACTACTCAATGGAGGCCTACTGTTCCCGGCAGCAAAGAACTAAAGAACCTTTGAGCAGGAACTACCAGGATACAACATTATGGATTCAGTTGGACTTCAGGAGCGGCAGAGTTAGGACTTATGAAAATCCATTCCTCTATAAAGTCAAAAAGAAAACTTCCAAAAATTATAAAAATCAATGTTTTCATAACTCTAGAAATTAGCCAAAGGCTTGTAACAATTCAGGGCACATGTATTTAACAACAACAACAATCTCACTGAGCAGAGAGAGCTTTCAGTCAGTCATTTTAACTTGCCCAATTTCCATTTCCTTCTGCCCAGCCCCATGGTAGCCTTGAAGCCCAGCAGCCTTGCAACAGTAGAAGCTGTAAAAACCAGCAGCCATCTGAGAGGACAGACAGAATTAAAGCTCCTCAGAAATATTTAAAAATGGCAAAGGACTTTATCATCCAGCAATCTTGCTTCTTGGTATTTGACAAAGGAGTTGACAACTTACGTCCACATAAAAACCTGCACACTGATGTTGGTAGCAGTTTTATTCATAATTGCCAAAACTTGGAAGCAACCATGATGCCTGTCAGGAGGTGAACGGACAAATAAACTGTGGTACAGTCAGACCATGGAATATGACTGATCATTGAGAAGATATAAGCTATCAAGCCAAAGAAAATTGTGAAGGGATCTTAAATACATATTACTAGTTGAAAGAAGCCAATCTCAAAAGGCCACATACTGTATGATTCCAAGTATATGACATTTTTAAAAAGGCAAAAATATGGAAACAGTAAAAAGATGAGTGGTTTCCAAGGGTTGAGGTGAGTGAGCAACGAGTAGACAGAGCCCAGAGGATCTGGGGGAATGGCAATAGTCTGTATGATACTATAATGGTAGATTCATGTCATTACACGTTTGTCCAAACCCACTAGGATGACTAAAATGAAAAAGGCCATCAGCCATTGTTGATGAGGATGTGGAGGAATTCCAAACTTCATGCATTGCTAGTCTGGCTGTTTCTCAAAATACAAACTTAGACCAGTAACTCAGCAATCCGACTCCAAGTATATACCCGAGAGAAATGAAAATATTTTCATGTGAAAACACAATATTTTATAGCAGTATTCATAATAGCCAAAAACTGAAAATAACTCATATCCATCAATTGGTGAATTCATAAACAAAATGTGGTATATCCAATCATAATTATTCAGCAAATAAATAGAAATGAAGCAGTACCTATACATGCTGCAACACAGATGAATCTTGAAAATATCCTAACAGAAAGAAGCCAGTCACAAAATGCCACATCTTGTCTGAGTCCATCAGTACAAAATGTGTAGAATAGGCAAATGCATAGGGACAGGAAATCAATGTGTGGGCACCAGAGGCTGGTGACAGTAGACAGTGGTGATGGCTATGAATACACTAAATATGTAAATATACTTAAAACCACCAAATTGCATGCTATAAATGGTGAATTATGATATATGAATTATATCTCAATATAGCTGCTAAAACCAAAAAATATTATAGATTTGTTTTACTATTAATTATGTTTTATTTTACATTTTTAACACACATATACAAAATGCTCATTGGCCAGGACGTTATATGCTCTTTCACTTCTCTTAAAAGAAAGTAGGACCATTTAACAAAATGAGAACTGGTCTGGCCTAAGATTGCAGAAATATAGAAGATATTAAAACAGGTCTCCTTTAAAGATGAGGTCTTGCTGCAACCTAAGACAATGACATTATGTGCATGAGGAAGTGACAGTTCCCATACCAAAGGTATTCTTGGCTGGTTTAGCCTTTAGAAGGGATGTAGAGATTGATGATTCTTAAAAGTTAATATTGGAGGCTGAAAACATTGTAATTCCAAAAGAATTGACCTTTTTTAAAGTAAGAAATAATCTCACTAACCTGCTTTCTGAAAATTCTGAAAAGTCATCCTGAAGTTCAAATTTGTGTAGAACTTCCCCAATTAGATAGCCATTGGAAAACGCCTTCGCAAATGACTTGGGACCTGAATTTTAAACATAGAGATTAAAAAGTAAACATGTTGCGCAGAGAGTTTATGTATTTTCATTATGTACTCATAGAGTGAAACTCCCTAATTTAATCTGAACTCAAAATTCCATAAAAATACCTCTAAAATTTAATAACCAAATAAAAAGACTGAAGATGAATAGTCGGCTTCTTCTCAAAATTCACACATAAATATATACCAGTACTTGATGACATATGAAATTATGAAAAAAAAAGAAAAAGACCTGCCATTGCTGGCCACCAATGCTGACCCCTGGTCTCAGCTGCCACCACTGCCCCACTGTGCCGTCTGGGCTGCTTTGGGTGTGTCTTGCATCTTTTTTGTCTATTGCTCCCCTCCCTCTGCTTTTGCCCCTCTCTCTTCCCTTGTCCGCCCCATTCTTCTCTTAGTTTTCTGAAGAGCCACTGGACAAACAGACATTATCAGACTACGGATTTCTATATAATCAGATGACTACAGCTTTGCGCTCAGGAGCTCTGCCTCGTTCAGGAGGTATCAGTCCTCCTCCCCCTCCCACGGGAGTTTACAGTAGGCCTGTTGTTCATGTTGACTAGGTGGCTAAAGCCTAGCTCATGAATAACTGGGCAATAACTGTATCTGATTCCATCACTGTCAACGTGGCAGGCAAACAGTCAATAGCAAACTGCTACAAAAAGGTCACTAGAAAAATAAAACCATAATCCACCTCCTTTGAATTGGCATGTTGTATTAATAAGGCAATTCTGATATAGACAAAATAGAGGGATTCATGGATATAAAGGTCAAAGAAGAATAATAAACACTTGTTATTTCGTTGTCAAGGACTTTACTACAAATAGACAAGTACAAAAACATCTCTCTGAAGTTTTGTATGCACAGGACACGTCGGGTTCACTGTGTGCTACCCGGACTGAAAAGAGAGCAATGCGTGAAAAACTATAGCAACCAACAAAAGCGACAGAGGGGTAACATGTGCAAAAATAAAGGAGATGAGAGAAAAGTACATGCAAGAAATTAGAGAAGAAAAAGATACGCATATATATTTAAAAGTATGAAAAACGGCTAAGAAGCCAGAGAGGGAAAGAGAGAGGGGCTGGAGCAGAGAAAAGGTAAGAGAAAAAAGGAAAAGCAAAGGAAAATTTATTTTCCCCTCTTTAGTTTATCATAATTTTCTTTCCCAATAAATGTTCCTGAATAGCACAGCTAATTTGATGACAGCCACCCTCTATAAGTTAATGTACACTAACAATTGGAATTTCCTATGAGAAAGAAGAGGCGGGGTGACCCCAGGACAAGGAACCATGAAGAATATGAGAAGTAAATAAACCACGGGAGCCCAGGGGTGAGCTTCATGCTGATTATAAAATGAGTTACATCCAGGATTAGGTTGGTTGGCCATGACTCAACACTCAGCAGTGCCTTTTCCAAGCCTTCCAAGCTGCAGAGCTGACCCCCATCCTGAAGTTCCTTTTGCTGAAAGCTTTGACATGGCCTTTGTGAAAGGTCTGTCTTAGGCAAGGACAGCGGGTGAAACGGTCCACGAGCTTCTTCGCCCAGATGGCCCTGAGAACACGGGTTCCGGGGAAAGGTCTCTGGGTCGGGCCCCTTGCTCTTTAGAGGCCACTGGACTTGGGATGCTCACCTTTCAAAGAGGAGGAGAGATGGGTGCTACTTCATGATAGTTGTGACAGCTGGTTTGAGATATTGTATGTAAAGTGCTTAGCGTTAGTCCTGGCATACAGTGAATGCTCAGTGACAATTATTATTATTATTAGTGTACCCTAATTTAAGATAACAGGTCACATCAATTAGACAATTCATAAGCTCAATAATAGATCCTCAATAACTACAGTACATTCTTTTTTATTTTTTATCCTTACCCTACAGCATTTTTTCATCACTTTGTAGAGAGCAAGGAAGTGGGAGAGAAAATGAGAGAGAGACATCGACTGGGTGCCTCCCATCTGTGCCCTGGCGAGGGATCCAACCCACCATGTAGGCACATGCCCTCACCGAGAATCAAACCCGAAATCTTTTAGTGTATGGGATGACGCTCCAACCACCTGAGCCATACCAGCCAGGGTGTACATTCTTATTTAAAAGAGATCAAATATTTGACATTGTTCTTAAATTCAGATACACACTCATACTTATGGCTATAGTACCCCCACCAGAAATACATGCAATCAAACACAGTTGATATCTATAGCAAAACATCTCAGTGGGAGAAGTAAAGAATACACACAGCATCACAGCATTTCTGGTCAAGTTTTGCCACCAAATGAATAAAGAGATATTTGGATTTTGGAAATATAGATAAAAGTCTGCAGACCTATACATTCTATGCTCAGTGGCCCTCACTCCTTTAATAGAAGAGCAAAGATCCAGCCTTTATTATCAACCACATTTAAAAAGCCAAGCAAATTTACTTTCATTCGATAAAGAGAAGAGCAGCTGCTGGAGCCTGAGAACCGGCCTGGCCCCATCAGGCCTTGGTGTTCCAGGACCCAGCGGCCCTCACAGCGTGACCTTGGCCCACACCTGCTGAAGATGATCCACTTCACAGCACACCAACACCAGACAAAGCTGCTCTGAGACCCTGACAGCTCAAGACAAAAACAAAATCCCTATGTAATCATATTTGTACTCAGACAAAAACAAAATTGTCCAAAACACAAAAAGACCAACATCCACTAATCTGGCCATTGTGAGCGGTTGCTGCCTTTTTACCAGTTGTGGTTCTCCTGCGCTTTGTTCTCTCCGCTTCCTGGAGAGGATTCGTTAAGGCACTTGATCATAGAGATGCCTATGCTGCTGACAGTGCCCAACCCAGAGCCAAGTGCCACTTCCTTGAACCCTTCTCAAAAATCACCTAATACAAGACCAAGTTCTGTAAATTCTTTCCAATACCCTCTTACTGAGATGCCTCATAAACCCCACTTTGCTCAACTACAGGTTTATACTGTGGATTTTGGGTAGAGGACTTTGACAATTTCTTTTCCTCCAGTATAAGAATAGGATGATCAATCTTCTCCTTTGAAGACTTTATCATAGTTCTTAATAATTACTATTTGAAACAAAACCTCTAGCCTATTATAACCTCCTCTAATGGCTTAAATTTTGGGTGACATTCTTTTCTTGAAACTTCATATCTTAAAATTTTGACATTGATTTACACAACATCCTTGTGTTACTAGATTTGCTGTGTCAAGTTCTTGTCAAAGGAAGCCAAGTTTTTATCAAGGGAAATTCTGCTAAGCTAGCCAGAAAGTATCAAAATATGTTGCATTACACAAGAAGCAGTATATTTCCTAATGACCCTGAGGGATGAAGTATGAGAAAAATGTGTGGTTTAATGTCACCGGACTAAAAGAGGAATAAACTGAAAGTCAGGAAACTTCGAATCTACTGCTAACTTGCCACTACCTAGCTGTACAACCGTGAACAAATCTCTAATTATATTTTATTTAATTACCCCATATGCAAAAAAAGAATTAAGTGGTGTCTAAGATTCTTTTTCAGATCTAAAGTTCTATGACTCTATGACGGGTAATGCCATCATAGGCCAATAAAGGTCATCACAATATATTATAAAATGTATGTAAATATTCAATAGAATATTTTAATATCTCCTTCTTAATAATAAAATTGATACCTTTGTTGACATAAGACCTAATCCACAAAGCATAGTTAGTGCACAAGGGGACCCAAATTAAAAATGTCCTTAAATTCTAGGACAAATAATAGAAAATATAACTCTCTAAAACAAAAGTTACTGAGATTTAATGTAAAAGAACAAAAGTAGCCACATATGAAGGTGGCTTATACAAAGAAGTAAATTAACAAGGAGCATAGCATATCTCTTAAAATTCAATTTATCTATTTAATTTTTTCCATGTCATGTAAATTATAATCTTTGGATATATTAATTAACTTTATTAACAGAGTAGCGACTTGCTGTAATGGAAGAATACATGAATACTGTAATTGCAGAAACCCTTGCAGTACTAGTAACACTGGAGAATAACATTGACCAGCATGGTTCACTCATCCACTCATGCAAAAGGAGGAGGAGGAGGAGGAAGAAGAAATCTGACTCTAATAGACTTTAATCTAATCTAAAGTGTCACAGCATGTAAAGTAATATCTCTAGGAAAGATAAGTGAAACAAATCAAATATTGGCTTAATTTGAGAGTTCTCTTGATAATATCTAATTTCTAATTTTGAATGAGCAATCTAATCTGTACGTCTGGTCTTCTCCCGCGTGTACCAGCCCATTAAGGTGGTGCCTGGTGTTCAGTGGTGAGGACAGGTTATTCTGCTACCCTTCCCTCCTGATGAATTGGTACCCTGGTTTACAAAAACAGAAAAATGTAACTTCAGTTAGTGGGAAGCAATTTCTAAGATCTTGATTAAAGTAATAAAACAGCTTCAGAAATCACAAAGCTGATGATCAAAGGTCCCTGGGGGACCTTTACAAGATGAACAAATCCATAAGGTTCAGCTAAAGCCTCCTCTCAGACTTTCATGTAATAAACGATTATTTGCTAAATGCCTATTATATGACAAGCACTAAACCAGGCATTATTCTAAAGTGAGAGACAGAAAAATAGTTGAAATAATATATTTTTTAAGTATCTTGATGTAGTAAAAGTTAAGAATTGTGGTAGATAATTTTCATTTGCAGCCTCATTTCATACTCTCCCAAATAGACAGCAGTTCTCACTCTTATTTTTCAGGGTATAAAACTGAAACCTAGAGATTATTATTTTTGCTTTGGATACTGCAAAAATTCCAACATAGCCACACCCAGGATCTATAAGAACATGGGCTATCTTGTACATCTATCTTTACGAAGGATCTGATTGGTACAGTACAAGGAATTTGAAGGCTTCTACTCAATTATTGAGAATGTTCAGTTATTTATGGAAAATATGGTGAATTCATAAGAGTTTTCTAAAACAGAGGCAACGTTTATGCTTGAAAATAGTGGAGCTTTCTTAAAAATCTTTTATAGCAGATCCTTTAGCAACATTACATTACTTACTTTTTATTATAGAAATAATTGCTTGAATTTCAGGTGTAATGTTTTGTTGAGCAACTCTTTATATTCTAAGAGACTTCACTAACATACACATCTAAGCATTGTATTCCACGGGGAAATGGTCTGGTTAAATTTAACTCACTGAACATTCTTAGCTTTGGTAACATAGATGTGAATATACATATGTTGAGACTAATCAAATTTCTAGTGACTCCAGAAAACTCCCCCATTAAGTGGAGGGAGATTCCTCAGTTGCGGATCATTGGAATTCATTTTCTTTACTGCTGATATTCAGGGTAGTCCCTGCGACACAAAATTCAGTAACATGCTTTCTCCAAATTGACTTCTGCCTTTCACAATAACCCAGAAATCAACTGGGTTTTAGCTACCTCTCCAAAACGACTGAACATTATGCGGCCTTATAAAGGAAGTAAATGCACTCACACCACATTCTTACACTTTTCTTAGTTCCAGCAAGTAACTTATAGATGTAATCACTTCTAACCAACCGCTAATAAATCCACCTTGGGCGCTTAACCACATAGGGATTTTGTTACACCCTGCGAAGTTACAACTGCCTCAGCAGTTGAATTTCTGTATTTTCTGCGATTTCAAATTGCACAATAATTCCTGAAGCGCATATGAATACATTTGGAAGGGCTGAGTTTTTAAAAAATAGATTCCCTAAATATAAACTCTAACATACAATATAGCACCTAAAGACACGAGCTAGAGGTCTAGCTGCAGATTCTAGCTGTGCGACCCTAAACACATCACCAGGTGCTCGCAGCCCCTTTCACTCATCTGTACACCTGGGACAATGCTTCTTAGGGTTGTCCGTCTGTTTTAGGGCTTAGCACGCCGGGTCTGGTATAAGCGCCTAAGTGTTCGGTAAGAGGTTGCAAATTGGTGTTACGCAAGGGTGCTTCTGGAAATACAGACTGAAATGATTTGGGCTAAAATCCTCTTGCCCCGAGCAAAAACCGTACCAGCTGGGAAACCAACCAACCAACCAACAAACAAAAACCTCCTGTTGATGAAACAAACAGAAAGAAGTTGAGGCGGAGTATGGTGCTGAGCTGGAATTACTTGGCTATCACAGAAGTTGCCAGCATGTAAAACTGCCTTTGTGGTTGTGAGATTTGGAGCCTCTCGGCGGCAACTTCATATTTGGGATAAAATCAAGTTAGAGTCAAGTTAGCTTTGGGCAAGAGGAAACAGCAGTCAGAAATGACTGTTCTTAAATTTTGGGCTAAAACTGCTAAATAAGTAACAGTAACATACTCTGCATCCACTCATTTCCCACACACCTTTCCTTATAGCAGGAGCGATGTGGAAAGTGTGACTGGAGTCTACTTTATACTGGGGGAAACGCACTCAGAGCAGGTACCCTAACTGATCCAGGAGCACAAACACCTAGGAGCGCGGTAGCTGGCTTTAAGGCTTCCTACTTCATTGGCTTGCCAGCACAGCAGGATAGAAGCTGCGGGGTTGGGCCCACTTGGGTGGCAGCGCGGGGATGGAAGAAGCCCGGGGGTGGCCCCGCAGGCACCCGCTGGAGCAGCTCGCGACTGTCCGCCACCTGCCAACAGCGCGCCACGCTCGGGCCCCGCGCCCCTCTCGCCCCTGGCCTGCTCTCCGGGACTGTGTCACTCACTCACGGTCCGGGACACCTTCAACTCTTGGTTGAGCCACTGGCACAAGATCTCCGACATGATTCGGCCAGAGCCTCCGACAGCAACCGGGGAAACCAAGCCCACTGGCTCGCGTCCTCCCGTTGCCAAGGGCAATCGGTTGCTAAGGAAGCGTATCCAAGCCGGAGCTTAGCGAAAGGCTAAGAGGGGCGACAGAGCTTAGGCGTGGAGGACAGAAAATCATGGCTCGCCCCCTTCTGGCGGGTATGACTGCAATGTGCGCAGGCGCAAGAGGCTCCGAAGGGCTGGGGTGTTTGGGGGGCGGAGGCAGCCTCCAAGGGGACCGAGAAGTTAGCGAGTCGTGAGTGGGCGTATGCAGTTAATGAGGCGGGAAAAACTGTGGATTGACCACAGAGTTCTTGGAAGGGCAGAAAAAGAAAGGGACTTGATGAAAGAGGAATTTGCTCTGTTCTGTTCTGTTTTGTTTTGTTTCCATTTTGTTTGTCTTTTGAAGAAACCTATTGAAGATTTTGCTCTGAGGGCAGCAGTTTGGCCATTGATTTACAAATTGTCAGTCTTCATAGCTCTGTTGGATGCGCTACACTGGCTAGGACAGAATGTGTCTTATTCTTTTTAGTGCCAGATAGCATCGAGCGTGACACACAGTATTCAATTACTTTTTGTTGATGGTGGCTCATTCATCTCTCTATATTGTTTTGACAGATGAATATTTACTGAACTTGTGTTCTGGTCAGATTTTCCTTTCAGGTAATTATTTTAAATTGTATTTTGACGAAGAGTTTCACTGTGACCAAACCTGAGTCAGCCTCCTCCGAGCCCTCTTCTCCCAGGGCGCCGCCCTGCGCTCGGTCCTTGGCCCCTTTGGTTCAGCTGAGCAAGAGTCCTGCTGGATCTCATTAGCCAAACCCCCCCATCCTCTTACTTGATAAAATCCCTCATTCCCACCCTTGCTATGTGACGCCCCTGGCCTGCCTCCAGCAAGAATCCTGTCGAGTCAGTTTAACCTGGATCCCTCTTACCCCTGATGCAATTACCTCTTTGTAATTTTCCATCCACTGACTCCGACCTTGGCTATAAATCCCTACTTTTCCTTACTGGTTTTGGAATCCTCGACTTTCTCTCCTACTGTAAAACTCCAATTCAGTAGTCCCTTGAATAAAGTCTTCCTTACCATTTTTAACAGGTGCCGGAAAACTTTCCTTTAACAATTTCTAAAAGTTTAGATGGAATAATAGAAAATATATACATACATATTATGTATACATAAATTTATACGATAATAATGTACCACCAATAATCACCACTATAAGGAATTTTCTCCCAAAAGGTCTGAATACACCTAATTATGAATCTTTTAAACTGTAGGAACAATAACAGTAGTGTCCCACTAGAACAAAGGTCTTTTAAAATTAATCTAAAATTATTAAGCTGTGTTTCCTGATTGGATAACAGTTTAGTACCATTATACTGTTGGCTGTACTTAACTGTTAAATCTCTCATACCATGAGTTCCCTAGCACCCAGCACAGCAAGCGTGACAACGGTGGAAATACTGAAGGAGATTTACTGCCAACAGAATTGGAGCCTGATATATTTGACATGTATCACCTTAGAGTTGTCCAAATTTGGAAGATTATAAGAATCTAAAAGGCCTCATTGCTTGGGGAATATATCTGATGAAGATTTCTTCATTAAAAGCACCTCATCCCTGAAAATTTTTCTCAGGGCCCGATAGGTGCCTAGAAATGACCTGCAAGACACTCCTGCTTCTAGTCATTCTGGGAATATACCTAAGGTGATGACTAGTACCACACTTAAGAAGAGGTTTGAAGTTTTAATTTCAGTCTGTAAAGCCTAGTGAATGGAACCAATGTTGCAGAGAGAATTGCTCTTGGGGAAGGTTGTAGATGATAGTGCATCAAACTCCTCAGTTGCTCCAGAAGAGAATGAAGGCCTGAACTCATAAACCACCTGCAGACATGGGTTGTTATGGCCACATCAAAGCAAAATATTTCTGTGACTATCTATAGGAACTGTTTGGTTGTTGTTTGTCGCAAAGGGTTATTTGTAGAGTTTATTCTTGAAAGCCAGCTTCAAACAACATAATCTGCCAACGTGGTATTTTGGAAGATAAGCTTGTATACAGGATTTAGACAAAGGAAAATATGAACACTTTACAAAATTAAAGGCAAAGTCCTTCATTTCATAAAAAAAAAAAGATTATTATTTTTGGGGGGGCTCCAAAAGCATGCAACTTGAAAATGATCTGACATTAAATTATTAATAAAAATAAATAAAAGTGGTGGGGGGAAGGTGGAGACAAATGTATTTGGAAAAATAAATAAATTAAAAAATAAAATAAAAAAGGAAACAAAAAATTATTAAGAAAAATTTTGAGCTATGAATTTTACTAAATGTTTTTTCTTGAAATTGCTAATTTAGTTATTTGTCCAAGTGTAACATTAAATCTATTCCTTCCCCATTGAAATCCCAGCTCTGGGCAGAGTTTCTAGCATTGTCCATCTTGGTAGTTTGCGTTAATATAATATGCGTATATGCCTTGTTTGTTCCAGCATGTGGCATCAGCTGAGAGAGGAGATGATTAAAAATTGGACAGTTTCCCATCAATGCCTGAGAAAGCGTCCTTGTTGTTTTTCTAATTACAACTTTCAGAATATTTAGCTTCTGCAGCCAATTGTAACTACCACAACAATTTAAAAACTAAATTAAAACATTTATTTTTAAAGTATTACCTGCTATTTAGTTATAAATATTTCCTCTCTGTAAAGAGCAGATTATAAAGAGTTATTCTGAGACCACAAGTTGTTCTGAAAATCATTCCGTGTACTGAAATGAATTATAGCTCATTCTTTTAAAAAATAATTGTATCATTTTATCATAATTAGAATTTTACACTATCAATAAGTGTAAGCTTTGGAACCAGATACACCTGGGTCGGGGTGTTTGCTTTTGATCTGACTAGTTCTTCTGCTTTGGGAAAACTAGGCACCTTCTCTGAGCCTCAATTTCCTTATCTGTCGAAAAAGAACAGCAATATTTATTTGACAGAGTTCTGAGGAGCAAATGAGAAACCACACATATTAACTCCTGGCTCACAATGGATGCTTAACAAATATTTTTTCTTCCTTTTCTCCTAAAGCTATGAAATTTTCTCATCGTATTACCAGTTCATTTAGTAACTTAGATTTCCTTTTAATATTAAATTAAAGCAATTTTGAAGCAATTATTTCATATAGCTGCTTTGATTTTATTTGTGACTAATTCAGTGTGTTTGCGTACATAAATCGTATACATAGACAGTTTTTCAAAATCTTACTTGGGCCTCTCGGTACGTCCTGCTTGTATTTCATCTCGTCCCCCCTCGCCACCTTCAACCGCTCTCTCACTTCCTCCCCTCAGCATGTTTCCCAATGGCCTTGCTCACTCTACATTCATTAATTCAACAAACCTTTCCCTTAGCGTCCGCAATAACCACCCAAGCCAGGGTGGTTCTTCCCTCCCAGTCACCCTGTGCGACCAGCCTGGTTCATAATCTTAAAATCCTCCACTATTCCCCAGCTCAGATGCCTTCGTGAACTTCACGAGAGTAGTGTTTCCCAACAAGGGGTTTGACTTCTTAACAGAAAATGTAATTCCTTTAGTGGGTCACGCCAGAATTTTTTTATAAAGAAGACAGTGTACAATACAGTGTGGGATAGAAATTATCAGAGGGTGTTTATTTAATGTCAAAAGAGTAGATGAGTGGGTTTTGTGGGTTGGGGTGTTTTTTTAGGAAACATTTTTGGAGCCACTGTTCTGGTAAATAAAAACCGCACCAAACCCTTTATTTAGGATCTAGCCTCAATCCAACCTTAACTGTGAGCCGCAAATTCCCTTTGCACAACTTGCTTACATTTCTTTACTAGGTTCCAACGTTCTCACCTCTGCATCCATCCTCTGCAAAAAAGGCAACTTCCTGCCTCAGCCAGTCCTGCATGTCCTTCAGGGTCTAGCTCATCAGCCACCACCTTCATAAAACCTCTCTAATCCTTCCATCTTTTTAATCCCTTTGCCCTTCTAAATTCTTACGTACTTCCCTTTTAACTTTCATCCCAGACACCTAAGTCCGACCAGCTTCCCACAGCTTGGCCAGCAACTCAGTTTTGCAATCTTCTGATCTGTTTCTCAACCCTTTTTGAGTAAGTGTGGACTGAGGCCCTCAGAAGAGGAGGCAACTTTGGCTTGTTATTTATGGCAAATAACAATAACCTTGCGGAAGTTTCAAAATTCTCGAAGTCTTTTGACCTAATGCAGATATGACCCTTTCTGTTAGGTGTCTTATTTCCCATGTCCACCTGATTTGTCTTATATATGGATTGTGTCTTTCTCAGGCAAACATTTATAGTTTTGAATCTGAAACAAAATCAAGTTGAAACAAAACACTTGGTGCCATTTGAGAAAAAGTGAGTCATATGTTCTATAACTAAGAAAGAGAAACCAAAGGTCATTTATCAGAATTCTTGCTCTAATTTCTCATTTTCCCATACTGAAGTTTTCAGAGAAGCCAAACCACACGTTAAGTATCATGAAATTAGAGTCCTAAATTCACTTCTTACTTGTTCCTTCTCCAGCAAATAATTAACATTACCAGTAAACTCTCTCAGTTTTACTCAGTAATCAAATTATTCTTATAGCAACATTGCACTTGTGCAAATAAGCCCTCAATTTTATCTTTCTCACAGATTATGCTTTAGAGCAAACTGGATTTTTATGTATACCAAATTTTACAACCAACTACACTGTATTTACTCTCCAAAAGATATTTATATACGTTTTCCAGAGAATCAGGGTTTTGTTGAATTGACTAATTCTTAGAAGTCATTATCTTCTATACTTCTGCTTTTGATGGGAATCTTTCTTTATTATGCTACCAATGTTTCATATGTAGACTACTATCTATCCTGTATTTTTGAGCACTTCTAGTAGGTTGATCTTCCTTCATTGTTCTGTTCCTCATACCTTACAAATTGGCAGTGGTTTCTTACTTCCTATTAAAAGTGT